ACTATCCTCTAAGTCACTCCAAACGATAATAGGGTTATCATTCATCGTAATAAAAATGTAATAAATACTTGAGTAAAAGATGAGGTGAAGAGATGGTCCTTTGAAATATGAGGGTGAAAGCGTTGAAGCAAGAAATATGGTTGAAAAGTCAAAGCTTTAATGCTTTAAAATTCTGAACGTGAAACGAAAATTACTCTTGAAAAAAAGTGTTCTTAGATAAGAGGGGGGACTTAAAGAGACAGAGGAAACTCAGTCTACAATATGGCTAAAAAATTTCTCCACGATCTCTCTCCATCTTTATATAGGCAAAGGCAATCAAACGGACCGGATCAGAAGTAGAAAATAAGGGTAAATTAACAGTCAAATTTCATCTGGGGAAGACAATCGTACTCCAGTGTACTCGAATACACGAAAAGCTGCATCACTTCACCCCATACCTTTTTAGGTCACACGTTAAAGAAAAATGACAAAACGTTTCAATAATAAGATTGCATTTAATGCTTACATCACCATCACGCTTTGGCAAAACCAAAGTGGCACATGCCATCCGACACTTGGACAATCGTTCTCAAAGGCCTCCCACGACTACTGAAAGACTCCTCCGACATCAAACATGCTCGACCAGTCTTAAAGGCAAGTGTTTCGTGCCGACCAAAGATCTGAAACCCACTACTTTGCGTCGATCAAAGGCCCAATAACACAAGGCCCATTATCCAACCTGCCCCGTCAGGCCCATTGTATAAGTATTTTCGCAAAATATTTTCAAGTACACAATCTCTAATCTCGACTGTCACTACCACTATCATGAGCCCTAAACTGACTTGGGTGTTGGAGTCCCCCGCCCAAGTCCACCGTATCGAGATAGGAAACACCGATTAACGACATCGCATCAAGACCGATATCTCTGATTCAAGAAACATTGTGATCGCATCCTTCGATCCACAGTGTTGTTACGTCGTTGTGCCTTTGAAGTTTCGCTCCACCGTAATTTCCACAATCATCACTATTTATGGTTCTACAACAGAACACTTATGTTACCGTGTTAATTTTTAATTAAATCAATGAATAATCAATTTTAATTTAATCATTCAAGAATCCATTACAAACCACAATCTGCAAACTCATGCAAATATACAAATCATATACTAGTTTTAGACGTGATGCACTACAAATATCTTAATCAAAGTCCAAAATGAATTATCTTTTTTGTAAAATCGGAGCAATTTTAGATGGACAAGGGCATTATTGAATTTTATCATCCCTAACATGGAAGAAGTTTGAAAAAATAGGTCAAGAGTTAATATCACACAAACTTGGCATAATTAGTATCATTTATCTATAAAAAATAAAGTGTTTTTCGATAAAGCTGGTCTTCTTAAAGGTTTTGTTTTAAAGGTTGAATTGGCAAATGGTTGGATATATCATGATTATGAGATTGACAAAATAAAATAAGAGGCAACAAAGGCACCTCTAATGATAATGATAGATATATCATTCCACGCGGACCACACCTAATACAAGTTCTAATTTTGATTTGTTTCTACGCCATGCCCGCCAGCTAACTTTAAAAAATCAAAATCAACCAACTAATACATACACGTTGTAAATAATCAATTATATAACTCCAAAATAACATGCAAGACTACTCTGTTTGCTTCCAATGAAATAAAGAGGAAATATAATGAGGGGAGGTAAAGCTGAAAGAAAGGAGGATTTTCCATCATTTGGAACAAGCTAAAATGGTATAGGAAAGAAAGCGAGACATGGCTCCACAATACTTTAAACACAAATATAAAAAGAAAATTGATAAGTTTATCACAGGATCAAATTTGTTAGATGATTATTCCACTACTCTTTTAAAAATTAATTTTTTTTAGAGAAACGTGTTAAGTTCGGTATCTTTAAATGTAATTATATTTCAATTGAACAATACTGCATTATTATTTTTATGAATAATTGTTGTATTTTATTGTGAAATTGAAAGGTTTAATCACACTACAAAATTTGATATGTGAGAACAAACAACAATGACAACTAAATTAAATCATCATTTAAAAAAAAAACTACTCTACAATAAGACAACAATTTAACTTGACAAAAGAAAATAAAAAATAAGAAGTAAAATAAGATGTTTACCTAATTCGAACAAACATTCTATTTTAGAGGAGAGAACAAGCCATATTTTTTACCCCAAGTGTTTACCATTCTCTCGAACTCTCTATTTATGAACCACACAATCTCAATGTGTTTATAAGTATTTCTAATCATCTTAGATACTTCAAGGGTTTCTCAAATTCTAAAAACACATTTTTAGATTTTGTTTGAGAGTTTAGAGAGGAGTGGAGGGAAAGACTTTAAAAAAGGTAAGGATTGAGTGAATAAATAGAGGGATTTAGGTAGGGAGAGTTTCAGAGGTTTGTTTTTATTCATAACACAAAATCTCCCTAATTTAGGAGAACTCAAAATTTGTCTTGAAAGAGAATTTGAAGGGCTTACATAAATTTTTCAAGTATATTTTATGTTGTTATAATATTCTAAAAATTAATAATATAGTAATGATAAGCACTCTTTTATCATTTTAGACAAAATCATTCATTCAAAAAATGTCAAACATTTGCTTGTATTTTTTAAAAATATTTTCAGAAGGCTTCCCTTCTCTTTCCCTCTCCTCCAAACTCCTAAACAAAATCTTAGAAATGTACCTTTGTCTCTCTAAAATTACTACTAGGATTCCCGAATTCTTTTATATGTCTTCAGCTCTAAAATTTTTAAGGTTCTGATATAAGAATACAAAGAGATACATATTTTATAACTGTTGAAACTCAACCGAATTATAATAAGCCAAAATATAACTCATTAAGGAACAAATATGAAGGTAGAGAAAACACAAGAAAGAAGAGGTTTGAATTGAATTTATAGATAACATTCCCTTTTAAAAATTCTAATCACTCAAATGATAAAAGCTATAAAGACAATAATGAGTAAAGAACACAAGTGATTTATCGAGGTTCACCTTAACAAGATTAATCATGTCCACCCCTCAAGGTGACTTGCCTTTAACGAGGGATTAATCCACTATAATCAAAGTGATTACAAATGCACGAGCAACAGCCGGTGACTAATAGACAATGACATGTTTAGTGATCCAACTTAACATATATAACATTCATTGACCCAATAGAATCAGATCACTTAAGATCTCCTACAGACTTCCTACTACAAACCTCCATAAGTGTTTGAAAGTCTATTCTTATAAATGAATATCTAACGATCAAATAAGTTATTTTGGCACCAAACTTACCCCAAAAACTCCATGAAAACTCAACGATCAAAGATGTTTTTATCTCTTATTTTCTGCAAAATTCATTGAAGTGCTCTAAAACAACCTCCAGACATCTACCATATTTTGACCTCAAATCACATAGCTTGTTATTTTCATGAAAATCTTCACTAAATGATGATGGGATGGGTGAAAAAATATTAGAACCTTTTAAAATATATAAGCCACATGTTTTAGACCATTTAGTAATTATCACTTCTCCATGTGAAATATTTAACACCTCATATTTAACTATAGTGCAATAGGTTAGATCATTAAACATGTTTATAGATAACAATTTTTACTTAAACTATAGAACTTACCTCACGTTGTGAATAAGAAACTAACAATCATCGAACATTTTAAGTATGATTGTACCAATACCATGAACTTTGCGAGCCTAATTGTCACTAAAGTGAACTACTCCATCTTCCTCCAGCTTCAATGTCTCAAAGTATTATTTTGTTGGACACATGTGATAATAGATACATAAGTTCATAACCTAACTCGCTTCAGTCTCCAAACTCACATCACTGATACACCAACACTCTGATAACTATCGTCATCTGACATAACTACAATGTGAACAAAATTATCAATGTCCATCTTCTCGAAACAATCCTTCATAAAGTAACATGTTTTCTAACTAATGGAACATTTTACCTTTGACTTTTCAAATCTTTTTGATTTAAGAATTTCTCTATGCTCACTTTCTCGTCTTGATACACTCAAGTTTTCACCACTTTCGTCAATTTTCAAATCTTTCACCTTTAAAAATTCTTTAAATCTCATATTCGTCTAGACTTCACCCAAAAAAATAGTATCATGACATCTTTAAAATGATCAAAGAAATTAAATAATGAACTCAATAAAAAAAAATATGTCCTCATCATCAATTTTTAACTCAATATTCTCCATATACAATCATTCAACTTCCCTCAAAACTTCACCCTCAAGCACAAAATAATAATACTTCTAATCTTATCAACCATGTCAATCTTATCCTTGATAACTCATCTATATGCTATATTGTATCTTTTCTTGACTAATAATTCACTTTCTTCATCTTTATTACATTTGGTTTAAATCTATTCCTATACATGTTTTTATTTTTCTCTCTTTAGTGTTTAAAGATTTTTTTGTTACAAGTGTCTATTAACTTCATTACATTGATCCCAACTTTCATCATTTTTACACCTTTTCTATGGAAGTATTTGTGTCATTTATCTAATATGCATCTTCTTTTCTCCAACTTTCCTTTCCATTAGAGGAGAGAAGAGAAATGTTTCTATTTCTTTCCTTCCATTTTCAATTCCAAAAATCATTTTACTTTCCCCTTACCTTCCTTCTTTTAAGATTATCTCCTTTTGCTTTCTTTCTTTTCCTTTCTTTTTCAATCCAAATACAAGAAGTATCCAAGCATAACACAGATATACACAAACAAGCTACAAGAAGACAAAGATTTGACAATTAAATTCAATCAAAAGCCCCACCACCTTTTATTCCTATTTCAACATTTCATGGTAAGGCGAACAAAGACCATCATTATTTTACATCTATATTCATCGGCCAAAAATTTAATAAAAAAGGTTAAGCTAATAATATAATAATCACAATTAATATAAACATAGGTTAGAAAAACTCGTAAAACTAAAACCAAGAAGCCACAATAAGACACAATTCAAGAAGCAGCAGCCGCCATCGGTGGAGGAGTTGTTGACATAGAACCTCCATTAAAGAAACCAAAACCTTTCCCAGAGGATTCTTCTTCAACTTCATCCTCTTCTTCCTCAGCATCCCAAAGAAAATGTGCATACGACGCTAGAACATAACTGCAACAGCAACAACAACAACAACAAATCAACCATTTTATTAATTCATAATTAATCAATTAATCAACATCATAATCAATCACTTAATCAACATATTATTCTTGTTACCAATCATCCGGCGCTGCTTTAACTGCTTGATCAAAATAAGTCTCGGCTCGATGAGCATCCTTATGACACTCCCATATCAAATCCGCGTAAAGTGACAGAACGTTACCATCATTTGGATTTGCCAATATTGCCCTTCCACAATACTCTTCAGCTTTCACATAATCTTTACGAACCTCTTTCAAGAACTTCGCGTAGTTGCTGAGAAAAAGTGGATTCCCTGGATTCGCTTCGATCATTGCACGGTAATACAAATCGGTGCTATCGTTACCGTGATTCGAATTACCGAATCTCGAAACTCCACCGTCGTTTTTGTCGAATCCACCGCCGTCGCCACCTCCTTCTTCCAGCAACACACCACTGTCAACATCGACTCCAGTCGGGATTTCTTCCATCTCAGATAAAGAACATAACGCGGAACTAAACGACGCCGATCTGGAACGAGCACCGAAACCGAGAGATCTGCTCTCTTCATCGTCCTCATCGAATTGACGGCGGTGGAGCGGCTTCCGAAAGGGAGGAACAGAGAGATCCGTATCCGAAAGTGCTCGAGTCAGTTTGTTCATCGAATCTGAAATCGGCGAACTCGACGACGAAGGCGAGAACGTAACAGATCTGGATTTCGGGTTTCGATGAAAGAATTCCGGTTCCGGAGATGAATCCTTTGAGTTTGAGTGTGGAAGCCATGGATTCATAACCGGCGTTGACGCGCTTCTTAGAAGCATTGTGATGAATCTTGTTTCTGTTCAACCCTAAAAGTCTGAGTACTAAAACTGGAACTATGTGAAAAAGCACTCATATGATTATTGAGTTTTATAGAAGAATACAGAAATAGATCTCAACCGTTGATTTTTCATCAAGAGATATGGGACCCATAACTGCGATTTTCAGCCGTTGGATTGAAAAAAATCAATAGCTGGTTTTGTAGAGGAGAGAGAGTGTAGATAGATTTTTTAAGCGACGGGTGAGGCTGTGAATTGGAGAGGTCGCGGTCGAATGGGTTTAGTTCGGACAAATGCTCATGGGTTTTCGCTTAGCACCGCCCGTGGAGAATCTCTCAACCGGGTCCCTCTTGAGGTTATTTATGTATTTTCGTTGACAATTATGAATTTGTAAATTTGCAAGTTGTACTCTGTTTCTCAGGGCTGTCAGATATTTTGGGCCGTTGGTTTTTTCTTTTTCTCCACATGTTTTTTGTATTGGAATTATTTTATTTTAAATATTTAAAACTAATTAATGATGAATTTCAATCTCAATTATTTTTAATTCGTCATTTTTATCGTTCTATTTTTAATTTTAAAAAATCTAGTTATCCTTTTACAGAATATGCATTATTGGTTCATCTATAAAAGTGTTATTATTGGATCATCTATAAAAGTGTGATCTAATCCTTAGCTAAAATATTGATGTCAATGTTCTAAAAATCGAATAGAGAAAAAAACCGTTAAAATATACTAGTCAAAATTTTATCGGTTCAATTGGTTAAATCATATATTAAATTTAAAATAAGAAAATAAATTTATATATTATTAAATATTTTGATAAAATTAATTATATTATAATTTATAAAATTAAATTCTCAAATAAATACGATACTCATACAAAAGAAGAAGAATGCAATATAAGACGCAATAACAAATTAGAAAATTAGTTAAGAACCAATACTTATATATTTATCTTAATTGTTTAACTCAAAACTACAAATTATTTATTAGTATAATTTTTCACATTTCTTTCAAGACCAACATCAGTTACCTCATATCCACAAATATTACATTATTTCTTCTCTTTCTATTTGCATTTACATTGTCTCATGTTTTTCAAATTTGTTCTTTATTTTTCATCTATACAATTTTAAATGTTTGTTATAATTAATTTTTTAGATTTAAACAAAGAAATAAAATGAAGTAAAACATAAATAAATAAAAAAATCTTTTATTTTTTGAACCGTCTAGTTCATCAAAATTGATCTCGATTTTACGATTATTTTGATTTTTCGCGATTGAAGTAATTTTATTTCAACTTTATAGACCTAACTGTTTATTAGTTCAAACTGAATCGAATTAGACAACAGTTCAAGGTTGAATCGGTTCAACCGAACAATTCAATCCAATTTTTAAAATATTAGTTCTTGTGCCAAATAATTGGTGGTGTAGGATTAAGTGGATGTTCAAAACATTCATGGACCGAATCGAAGCATCATCAACCAAATTGAAATGAAAATAATCTATTATAAATTTATAAAAGTTTAAGTATTTGAAATAATCACTTATATCCTTTAAAATTTATGTTAAATTCTTTTTTGATTTCACGATTAAAAATATTTAATTATACACTTATTTCACTTATATTTATTTGGTATTTATTATTATGGATGTGTCACTTTAACATTTTTTCATATAATTCTTAGTTTGTTTTATTTTTTTAATCTCTATTTAAACATTCAAGTGATTATTAAACTTCAGCAAACACGTGGGAAAATAAATTCCAGAGCAAAATCTAATAATTAGAGAATAAAAAGTCACACACTTTTTCATGGTCATCAATTATTGTTGAAATGCATTAAAAATCAAATAAACGCACATTCATTTCATTCCTTCCAATATTCGTTTCTTTCATCCGACTGAACTCTCTTTGCGTTCAACAATCATTCTTCCATCTTCTTCCTCGATGCTTGTTACAACTATGACACATAATATTTCTTTTTGGATTGATCTTTCCTCTCTACTTCCCTTATTTGTTTGGTTTTGTAGAATCTGTTCTGGACTGGGCCGCGCTGGCCCAAGAGCAAGGATGAAGGTCCAAATTCAAATGGCCCTGTAGAAGGTCGCTCCTACCCAGAAGCTACAGCCTTGTCCACGACATCCTCGACTTCATGCAGCCTAACTCGACCTCTGCTCGAGCGCTCCTCGTAGGGCAGACTATGACCATCACACCACGTTCTGGATTCCGAAAAGACTGCGTCATCGTCCGTCCGTACTTCTCGCAAGACACCCAGGAAGGAGACCACGTGCGGGTCCCCACTACACACGTAGAACCTGGCAGTTCCTTCATTGGGTCAAACCTGCCCGGCCCAATAAAGGGACCTTGGCCCAGCGCTGGGGGCTATAAATACCCTCTGTTCCTAGAGGGTCAGGTATTCATTCTTTTACCCATACTCATACTTTTGCCTGCTCGTACTCTCACTTACTTCAGCATCGGAGTGCCTTGCAGGTACCCCCCCCCCCCCCCCCCCATCTCGTTCAAACTTCAGCTCGGAGCCAGTCGTGTCGGTCCAAGTCTGATCAGGTAAGATCAGTGGCGCTGTCTGTGGGAAACTAGCTTCCCCGTCTTGCAAAACTCAAAGACCAAAGCTCAACTCAACTACCACTGTCATGGATGACCAAGCTCGCGATGAACAAAACGTACGCATCGTCGACACCAACAACGGCCCCGCGGACAAAAACTGACACCTTGACAACACCGGCAACTCCGGTCACAACACCATCCCCGCGTCAACTGCCCCCGGACCTTTAACCTACCGCGACGGAGCTACTGCGTCGTCTTCCTCGGTCCCTCCGCCACTCAAAGAGGACGATGCAGCTCTCGTGAACTACCGGGCTGCCCAATTTCAGGAAGTCCCCGTCCCCGTCGGGGCGGATGCCACAACTCGAGTGTTGTTCGCAGCGATCAATCAAACAAATTACCTCATATTCGCCCAAGGGAAAAGACTGAGGGCACTTGAAGACGACCGAAGACCCCCGAGGAGGCATCGGAGGCCCCAGACTCCACCTCCTCGAGTGACTGAAGTCCAACTCCCGTCTCCCCCGCGGAGACATTACAGAGATACCTCTCGAAGCCCGTCACCCTGCCCATCGGGGAAACGGCCCCCTTTGGAGAGGCAGCCCATCATCCAAGCCGGAGGACATGGTCGCGACCCGGCGAGACAGGAAAGAAGACACTCCGGAGATGGGCGTGTAAGAATCAACCAACAAGCACCACGCTCGAGAGAGGCCCAGCACGACCAGGACCGTCGTGCTCGACAGTATTACAGGTCCCCATCTCTATCTCCAGAGAGGAGCGACGAGGACGACCCCCGCGGTCCCCTGTCGCAAGCTATCATGGAAGCGCCCATCCCCCCGGGCATGGAGAAACCCCTGCACTTGAAGGAGTACGATGGAGTCGCGGACCCGGTCGACCACATAGACGGGTTCGAGGCTATGCTGCATTACCATAATGTCGGGGGCCCCATCAAATTCCGACTATTCCCCACGACTCTCAGGAAGGCGACAATGGACTAGTACAAAGAACTTGCCCCGGGCTCAATCACCTCGTGGCGAAACCTGAAAAACCAGTTCATCAGTTCATTCACAGCTTCTCGGCGGTATCCAAAGACCGAGGCGGCTCTCGAGGCCATCATCCAAAGACAGGATGAAACCTTGAGGGAGTTCATCAATCGCTTCAACCGGGAAGCTATACAGGTCCCCTGCACGGACCATATGAAGAGATATTTGCTGGAGAGGGGGCTCCTCCCCGACACGGAATTCAGAAAAGCCATGGGCATCGAGCCACCCAGGACATTCGACGCCCTCCTCGAAAAAGCTCGGGCATACATGGACTACGAGGAGAGGGAAGCGGCCAACAGAGCCCGAGACCCTAGGACTCGCGGGTCCAACAGCAACTCGCGCCAGGAAGCTCCTCCTCCTCGACGAACCGGGGAGAAAAGAAAAGAAGACAGACCCCGGGAAGTCCGAGAACAAAGGGGACCCTCGGGGCATTTTACCGAGTACACTCCGCTCACAACTTCCCGCGAGCGCATTCTGGCGGAGTGTGCCAGCACTGACTTCAAGGACGGCAGTGTCAAACGTCCCCGACCTGCTCCCGCCAAGCCCGGAGCAGACAAGAACAAATATTGTCAGTACCATAGGAGCCATGGTCATCTGACTGAGGATTGCGTCCACCTCAAGGACGCCATCGAAACCCTCATCAAGGGAGGGAGGCTCGCACAATACCGGTGAAGCGACGCTCCCCATCGTGACGCCCAGGAGACAAGGGAGTCGGAGGAAGATACCCGACCATCTGACGAGTCGGTCCCCATCCAGACCGCCTTCTCCGTGACCAGACCCGAGGACTTCGACGTCCCCGAACACCTGCAGGAGCCGCTCACAACGCACAGCAGGTGGGAATATTTCCCCTCTGCCATGGTCATCAACGGCGGCGGATTCAACGACTTGACCATTAATTCGGCTAAGAGGAAGCTGGATGAGCTGGTCGACGCGGCGCCCCCGCAAGCAGTGACGTTTGAAAGGGTGAAGGGCAGGTCAGAACCCATCACCTTCTACCTAGAAGAGCTCCCCGGCGGAGCCCCAAACGCGGTCATCCCCTTACTTATAAGGGCAAGAATGGCCAACTTTGATGTGCATCGCATCCTCGTCGACGAAGGAAGTTCCGTCGACGTAATGTACAGCCAACTGTTCCGAACTCTACAGCTGGACGACTCACATCTCTCGCCATATGTAGGGTCGGACTTACAAGGTTTCAATGGCTCGACCTCCAAGCCTTGGGGGTATGTCGAGCTCCTGGTTACATTCGACGAAGGAACGACGACAAGACAGGTCAAAGTACGCTTCCTCGTCATCGACTGCCCCGTCCCTCTACAACTGCATCCTGGAAAGACCGACACTGGCAGAACTGACAGCGGTGCCCTCCACAGTCCACCTGAAGATGAAATTCTACACCAAAAGGT